ACAGGAAGAGGAAACAGGAGGAGGATGCTGAGGAAGCACCGAAGCAGGAGGAGCAAACAAAAGGTAAAGCCAAGAAGGCAGCCAAAGAACAACAAGCTGACATTGCAGAGGAGCAACCAAAGAAGGCAAAGACACAGCAAGCATCAGCAGCAAGGGCCAAGAAGAATGACCAAGCCAAGAAGAAGCATGAGACTGAGGAGGAGCATGGACATGGGGCTGAGGAGGATGCAGAGGACCAAGGCCCAGATGAGAAGAGAAAGCGGGTCAACCCAGGAGCCAAGAGCAGCAAGAAGAAGGACAAGACCTCAGCTGGGCAAGAGGAAGCCGGTGAAGAGCCAAGGATCTCAAGGGTTGCGATGGCTCTGGGGAGAATTCCAGAAACCAAGCGTGATACCAACAAGAATGCAAAAGCAAAGAGGGCAAAGAAGGAGGAAGATGCGAAGAAAACCTCTGATGCTGAAGCTGACTCTGAGGAGACGCTAGTTTTGGGGCAGGACGGGTGAACATCACGCATAGATTCACATAGCACTACGATGCACAATCCCGACTTGTCAAAATCCTTCCCTTCCCATTGAAAAAAAGTCCAGCTTCCATCTCCCAGTTCAAGCCTCAGGAGCCACGGAAGTCAAAGACGTCAAAGAAAAGCAAGGCCATCCGCCTCAGTCAGTGCATACTTTCACCCGGTAGATTGTCAACTAGTCGTAGGCTGTGTGGTTCAAAACATGTCTAGTCTTTTTAGTTCGCAGGGGGTGGTTGGAAGTATGGCTCCAAAAACTCAAACAATTTCATTGGAGGCTGGCACTCCTGGCCGGGTTGGTCTTCGAGATACCTACCACAAGCACATCTCGGAGGCGATGACCCGTTTGAAGACTCAACATCCTGATCTTTCACCGAAGGAAATCATCGCTATGGCACGAACCGAGTGTTGACCTTATTTTTATCTTTTAAAGCGAAAAGAATGCCATTGTTTGATTTTAAAACGGCAAGTTTCTGAGGTGGCGCTCTCACCCGGACAGGGTCAACTCCATCAAAGGCATGAGCTCAAGTGAGTTGTCCCGACGTCGATTGAAGGTGCACGTGTCACACCCAGTTGAGGCTCAAGAAGGGGATGATGGTGAGGAGGCCATGGATGGCAATGATGACGAAGAGGCCGACTCGCATGAGAGTGGTGAGCCCTAGGCCAAAGGCTGTCGGGTGAAAATTGATTTTGGCAAAAGGCCACCTAGGCAGGGCCAGCCTGAAACACGGCATATTCTTTCATTTCAATATTTTTGTGCAGGTGTTTGCAATTCTGTCCAAAGTAGTTGGGGCTGAGACAAGCTGTGCATGGCTGTGCTTTTATGCGGTGCCATCTTTTGGCGGGCTTCACTGCGAGCAGTGGGGCAATGGGGACTGGCGATACCTCCTTAGATCTGAGTGTTGCTAGACACTACAGAGCGGAAGATCGCTGTTCAAGTAGTCTTAGAGATTGATAGGGATTGCTGGAAAATACAAGCTCACAAGCTCAACCGTTTCTTGTCACAGCATCTCCTTGCACCTCTGTGAACGCCGCTCTCTTCATCTCTCCCTTTCTCTCGCTGTTGGTTGATTTTTTGGCAGGCGACCTGGACATGATAACAGTTTGCTCATGGACGTCAGATCTCGAATCCGTTGTCCTGGAGGTGGTCGACAACAAGACGAGTTCTGATACAGACCGCTCCACCTGGAGGGCACTCCTCCAGGAATTTGAAGATGAGTCCATCATTGATGTGTCCATCAATGGACACGATTGTCAGAAGCCGGCCGCGAGCTCTGATCCCAAGTGTCTCCTGCCTGTCAACACATTGTTCAAGTGTTAGACCCTAGAGCAAGCTGGAAAGCAAACAAATTAGAAACTTAGAAGACTTTTAGTTTGTTCCTTGTGAGGCGAAGACTTCTTCATTATCAAGCCGAAGGCCACCCAAATCTTCTATGCTTGGAATAAACCGACTTCATTGAATGGCATGAAGTACACGGCAATCGCTTCTGCCTTCAGCAATGCTGCTCCTAAGCCAGTTTAAGTCTCGACTTCATAAGTCAGGTGTTGCTTTGTTATGATCAAAGCCCCCTCAAAAGTTCCATGTTATGTTTTGCAAACCAAGGACTTGGAAGAATCGAGGGAGCTCTCCCGCACCTGGCGGGTATCATTTACAAAGGAAACCAAGGAACTGGGTGTTGAAAAACACAATGCAACAATTTATTTGGGAATCACTGTTAACAAATATCCCTGTAGGAGATTACACCGAGAAGCTTTCTTGCATTTTAAGACTTGCCTCTCACTTATCATAAACATTTGAATCCTTAAGTGTGAGTGGCATTTAGCATCCAAGGAAAACCACTATACTATCTTCGTCGGCCCATCAAGCTGTCTGAGGGACAGATTGTTCGATTGGTCTGAAGAGGCCTAAGCTCCAGACACGAATGAGCTTGCAAAGGTGCGAGGAAAAGAATTGAGCCAACAGCACTTGCTCGGCAGCGAAACCCATGCATGCACACCAACAAGCATGAACCAAGGGTGAGCCCAAAATCACATCTAAATACTGCCTCAACAAAGTCTTATCACCCAAATAGAAAGAAATGGAACCCAAATCCAACGAAATTGACTTATATGTTAATATATATATTATACATGTAGTAGCTTGAGGGGGTTCAGGCTCAGGGGTGGGAACTTTGTAGAAACGTAGTGCGGGAAGCAACTTGTGGAAGCTTTGGCATCGAAATTGGCAGTGCAAATGTAATGCGGGAAGTGGTGTTACATTGTGTCACACCTAGTCTCTGGTGCAAGCTCGGTTGTATACCGTCTCGGTGGTAAGTGGGTTTGCGTGGTTCCGTGCTGCTAGGGGCTGCAAAGATGCATGTGGAACCGTGGTGCAAAGGAGAGTGTCCTACAAGAGTGTCCCATTATGAGCACCCTGCAGTGTCCAACAAGAGTGTCCTCACAAGTGTCTCGCACATGTCAAGCAAGAGTGTTTTACAAGAGTGTCCCACAAGGGTGTCCCACAAGAATGGCCACGAGGGTCTCTCACAAGACTGTCGCACAAGAGTGCCCTGCAAGTGTGTTTGTGTCCCACGAGGGTGTTTCTAATATTTTCTAATCAGTGTGTTGTACATGAGCGCCCCAACAGGTATATCATGTCATTTCCTACTATGCTTTCGGGCCACCCTGTCGTTTGTTTTGGGGGGTTCCCTCTTCATCCCTCTTCTCTCCTTTGCTCTCAGGTGAATGTTCGAAGGAAGGCTTTGATGCGTTGACCTTGCTGGCACCATGCTGCCCGGAGCGTGCGCTGCGGCAGTTGGCCTCAAGCCTTCAGGGTTGGCGCCAGCATGAACGACAGGCCGCGCTGGAGACTCCGTGGTGATGTGTGTCTATAGAGTTTGAGTGGCCTTTATTTAGGACCACCAACCACCCAAAATGTAGCCTTCCTCCTTGCAAAACAGAGAGACAGAGTTTAAGCGTGCTCTAGATTGTGGATGTTTGTGTGGGTTAGCTGCTGGACGAGCAGATTGATTCTCGTGAGGCAGGTACATATAGGGCCCCACCCACTGAAAAGAGCAGGAGCGAAACTGTAACATACTGCATCATACTGCAACATTTGTTCACTTGAAGTTTTGCTTTCCTTGCGGGTGGAACAGCAAGGACCTGCTATGCGCATGTTTATCGTCACATAATGTTTATCGTCACATATATGGGTCTTTAATGCTTTGGCACGTTGAAGTCCAGAATTCCAGCGAACCGTGCCCCATCGAGACGCCGTGCGGACCCAAAGAAGATCCTTGCTCCGCATCGACTCGGAAATGGTCGTTCAACCCCAAAAATCCGCTTCGGCCTTCCGTTGGGATCCACTTCTCCGAGGAATGCCTCAAGGCTGCATTCTCACCTGATCAGGAGCTGGCAGGCAAGAGCTCCTTGTTTTGGGGGGGGACTTTGGGTCTCCTGAAGCAGTGTATCCAAAGATGTCCAAACCTATAAACACATCCACACCCACATGCACTCACACCCACACCCGTCAACCACGCACCCAACGTCTCGCTTTCCGCTTGGCCGTCCAGGCCTGTTGGCCCGGGAGTGGAATGGTATGACGACTTGCTGCTGGTCCGACGAGGCCTTGGCGGCCCTCCAGCACCTCACACGTGATGGGCGAGTGGCGATCGACGGTGATGCGAGTGATGCAGTGGTGCGGTGCGTGGCGCAAGCAGTGAATATGAAAAGTCAGGTGAGGGGAGGAATATGGAGGAATGGATGGGACAAATATTTTCTGTCTAGGGCCGGTGGATGGGGTCTGGGTCATGGATGTACCGTCGGAGAAAGAAGGGTGCAGTTCCCTTCCACTACCCAGACACTCCACGGACTGCCACATTTGTCAAATCAGTTGGGGTGGTTGAGAAAGGTGTCAATGTTGGTATTAATATGTTTCTACATTCCAGCTCCCAATGGTGTGTTTGGCTTCTGAGCACCAGAGACCATTTTCATGTCGTAAGGGAAGGCCCCCCCCAGCCTGCCTATATCTCTGCCACTCTCGTGCCAGTCGCATGTTGCATACTGGGAGCAACCCGTGGACAGCGACGTGGAGCACCCGACCAGAAGCCTTCGAGACTGGGACCCGATGTGAAGACTGCCATCAGGGGGCCATGAGTTGACATGATTTGAATCTATATTTCTTGGTAGGATTTAGAGTATACATGTAGACTCTTCATAAATACAACACCCCCTTTTGAAGAGGTTGGGTTCAATCCAAGTTATCAGATTTTTGCAATGATTTCTTCAGGTTCAAGATGCGACCGCAATGATTGTCAGTCACCCTTTTTAAAACGCATAAAAGTGAATGTGTTTTTTGTACCAAATCTTGGTCAAGAAGGCCAAGTGCCAGGCTGCTTCACCAATCCATCACCAATCAAGCGGCAGTTTTTCATGGAAGAACTTCATTGACCGCGACCTGGAAATGTTGTGCAGAAGGAGCAAGATCCATATCCTGTTGACTGAGGCCAGAGCTTTTTGGACTTCTTTGCTCAGCTTTTGTCTCACGCACCTCACTGCGCACGCAGCGCCATTGATGCACTTTGGGCGGCCGTGGACGGCGCAGCTGCGCGAGGCCGGCCCAAGGGTGGAAGAAGGCGGTGGGTTTGGTGATCAATGCGAGGGTTTTAGACCTACACGGACGATCTACACACACCTGCCTGCATCTGCCTTTGTTTTCGAATGTTGGTGGATTGGGCGATGGGGGTGGATTCAATTCTGGTGCTTCCTCTGGTGCTTCCTGTTCTCCTTTGCGACCAGCCAGCGAGGCGAATCTTCCCGGAATGCCGTGCAGTTGGAGGCCTTGGAAGCGCTCAAGCTCGCGTGTGCTTGGGAGGAGGTCTACGGCACCCAACAGCTTTTGCCACGTGGCGGTTTCGTTTGGACGGAGATGATGTAGATCAAATGCCCCAGATGGTTCGGAGGGTTGGTTTCCCGACTGTAGACGAAAAACATACGTTGGGACAAAGGGTGCAGCCGGAGAAAACCTGAAGGAGTTGGTTTTGGGCAAGGGATGCGGGGGGTTGAGTATAGGGATAGCCCAAGGAAAGAATTTTCATTGGGATGTCTTGGGTATGGGTTATATTATGGTCAAGAGCAAACACATGAGACAATCGCCTTAGAGTTGCCTTGGGGAACCCCCATGGGTGTTAGACAGGGTTGTTCCTTTCTCAGCCAGGGATTTCAGGTGCCTCAGATGGTTGTCCCTCAAAGACATGTCCAAACTGCCGAGACATGCCCCCAATGCTAAGCTGGCTTCAATGGACAATGGAACAATTCTGCGTTGGTCGTGGAACATGTTTGAACATGTACCAGCACCACGGAAAGGGTGTCCATTAAATTATAGCCCCGAAAAGAGGTCTTTCGGGGTGTCCATCAACCACCCCGACTGGGGGTCCAGGTATGTCCACTTTTCTCTTGTTTTCATATCCTCCTCCTCCTCCCACTCTCCTACTGATCGGAGAGGGTCGACCAGTGTGCAGGTTGCGGCTTGAGAGTAACATCTAAGGAGTCAACCATAGTCGTGGACTGTACTGGTCTGGGTTTGGGTTCTTCTTGTCGGTTATATACTCAGGCTATATATAGTACTGGAGTGCATTATAAGTCATTTTATTTAACGCTATATACTATATAATATAGGCTTAATAGGAATTGTACTAGGGCAGCTTTTTGTTCGGTTTCTGTCAGCTTCTAACTGTCAGAAGAATTCAGCAGACACTGACACTTTTTGACCCACTGGTAGGAGGTCTTTTACAGAATGTTGGCCGCATGCACATTTTTCCAGAATCACACACCCTTTTTGCAATGAACGCAACCGAATCATTCGCCTTGGGATGGCGCCGGTTTCAAGTTCTATTCATGAACTCGGTGCAATATGCCACTTGGAGAAGATCCATTTCTTGGCCATCACATGTCTCGTCTATAGCCTATAGCTGGAATCTCTCCACACGGATGGGCCAGTCTCAGGCCTCGCCTTGCGGCTCCCGATCCGGTCACTGCCGCTTTGGCCGCCCGTGCTGCGTGCACGGTGGCGACAACTCATGCTGGAACGTTGGTGGAGGCGGTGGGTGCGCTGATACAGCTGAAGAAGCTGAGGAGTCCAGAGCTACAGGCGAGGTGCAAACGCCATAGCGGCTTAAAAGCTGTGAGGTTGAAACATCCTTGAACGCTTTAGCTCATGAGCCAGCTGAGTTGCAAAGGCTGGGAGAAAGCTCTTGCCAACAGCCTTGGTCGACCTTTCGGAGATCCTTTTTGTTTTGCTTCCATGCACCCCAGTCGTCGCGGAGGGCAACGGCCAGGCCGCGACGCACGGAATGAGAAAACCACCACGGCCAGGCCGCGAACCGGTTCCTGCCCCATCCACACTCTGTGAGGGCAGCTTGACTTCGTGGAAACGCCCACAGTTGCCTAGCCTCCCAATTCTTGTTGGGCTGTGGGGGCTAGTTGGAGGTGTGGCTTTTTGGTTCTTCAGGTGTTGGCCGAGAGCTATGGGCAGCTGGCGCCAGCTGCTCCAAACCCCTTCATCACGCCACTCCTGCGGGAGCTTCGAGTGGCGCCAGGGATCCACAAGGCACCTTTAAATGATAAGCTGGGCTGCAGTGAGAAGAATGTGAGTGGAATTTTGCTGGAAATGGTTGCAAACTTTGGGAGCTTTGATGTAGGGTGATTTTGGTTGAAGATTTCACCGATTTTGGTTGGAGCTCTTTTTTCAGATGTGGCTGTGGGGGCTGTTCTTCGTTGTGTCACGAGAGAAAGCCACTCCATGGGACTGCGCCTATGCATCAGCCCCCAAAGAAAACCCCCACCCCACTCTATCCATATATCATATACTTGTGCCTTGAGTCTCCAAAGACCTTTTTTTTTCTGCGTTTTTGCAAATCTAAAAGGGTCATTGGAGACTCAAGGTGGGCAGGTAATTATCGCATAGAGGTACATATGATGACTTACATGGCATAATATGAGTTCACCCCCACCCCACGTTTCGGCGGATGGGTGTTTCGGAACCGACCGATGGGTGTTTCGGCCCTGGAAAGAGGATGTGGGGCCCGCTTCGGATCGAAGTGGGTCTTCAACCGGGTTTTCCCAGCAGCTTGGAGTGAACAAGAATATAATACCCATGAATTATATATTATGACATGTACACATATACCTTCTTAGAAAAACTTGTTCTTTTTTTAAATGAGTTTTCCCCTGACCCAGGCCCAAGATACTTCAGCTTTTCCATCGACTGATGGTCTATACCCTTTCGCACCGCCTTGCCGGACCGTGCGTGCGCCTTCGCGTGCGCGCGCGCGTGCGCGTGCACGGGTTCGCTTCGATCGCCTCTTCCACAGGTGGAGATCCTGAAGGTCCTCGAGGCGGTGGCGACCGATGAACAGAAGATCGGACAGCTCCTTGAAGCCCTGCGTGGGTTATTCCAAGAGGCCGACCCTCGGACGATCTTTCACCGAGGGGTCGGTCGCCATCGGTGGTTCCTTGCAAGCGGAAGAGGATCAAGCGAAATCGGGAATCCAGAGATCATTAATGATCATGTAATTTAATTGAAAGACATCATCGTCCAACTTGTTCTTTTTGGGGGGGGACGCCAAGTATGTCAGAGTGGTGAAAGGAACTATTCTTTTCTCTAGGTTGACTCCGGCTCTGTGACGTTCAGACGTTTCTTTGCCGCTCCTTTCGCATGTCCATGCTATGGACATACCCTCGCTCAGGGCTCCAGAGTCGTACCTGGAGGGGTGCTGGACCGAAGGGGTTCACCACCGTCGTGCCGCCATAGGTGGCCCAGCTGCCTTTCCAAGAACTCATGTTCTGAAAACACTTGACTATAGTTAATGCAGCCAGCTAATGACTCGAAGCCTTCCATGGTCCGAACCACCGGGCGCTCAGGATCTTTGCACGCATCGCAAGGGGCTTGAGCTTCTTGACATGGCCGTGGACGTGTTGGAACGGCTCGGGTGCAGCGGGGCGGTGGCGAGCAGCGTGGAGCCCTTGCTGGAGTCCTTGATACGAAGCTCGGTAGATCTTCGGAGGCGTAGACATATCTACTCGATATATGATCAATATGTGGTGCATGGGTTCCATAGTCAAGAGAGCGGAGCCCGGTTGGACCCTGGTATCTGCCAGGTTGTGCCAGGTGTAGTCTATTCCGTGCATGTATGCCAACAGGTCAACAGGCAGAGTCCCCCAGGTTGGACGTGTTGCCAGGTCGATGCTTTTGGGACCAACCGGATCACATGAGGTCCCATATCACCTTTTGGAACCAAGTGGAGCCTCAAAAGGCGGACAGCCGTGCAATTTGTGGCTTTGCAGGTTGAATCGAGGTGGAATGTGTCTCAGTGGGGTCCATGCAAGTTTTAAATGTCATTTTGGTAGGTCTTGGTAGGCCATGTGTGTGAGATGTTGCGGAACTGCATGTAAGAGTCGGTAATCAATTATCACATCACTGTTTGAGAGAAAGGCCTTGACTAGCCATCATCATCCACTGGGCGAAGTGATATGATTGTTTGGCGCCCAGAAACACGTGGACCAAAAGGTGCATAGCAAAACGGTCAAACCTCCACTTGGGCCATGGCCACCCGTTCCCAGGACGCTGCACTTTGAAGTGCCATTGGACCTACAGCAGCATCGATTTACAGGCCCGGCCGCTTCACTGGAGGGCGAGGAGTGATCGGTGTCCAGGAGGAATGCTTTTGCCGTTGGAGTTCTGCACTTGATGGATTTGATGATTGGCGGCACAAGAACATTTTACGAACCGCTGTGATTTGCTGGCCAGCAAGCAAGCAAACAAGGAAGGATGTAAGAGATCTTTCAAATACGAGGGCTCCTTGTGATCGAAAGGAAGCCGGTAGCCAAGTCAGGCATACCAATTCCTTTATCCTTCATGGCCGTAGCTTTGAAGTAGCTGAAGGCCTTGGAATTGGCCTTGAAGCTCCTGAAAGAGACCCACCCGTTTGGCATGCTTCTGCCGCGAAAAAGCTACTCATTGGTCCCTCAGGGCCTCCTAATGGGTGTCTATATAGTGATAGACCCTTAGAGGCCTTGGTATAGTGTATAGTAATTAGCAATGTTTGCTTGTCAAAAGCCCTCCCAAATTCCCAAACTGTGAGAACTCGTCCTTTTTTTGTCACACTCACCACCTGCGCTTCGGCGAGGCCCTTTTTCGCCGCCTGCTGTGGCGCCTGGTGGCCATATTGGGAGGCAGCCGAGTGGAGGATTTGGAGCGCATCGCTTTGGGCTTCACCAGCGGACATGCCAAGGTTAGAACCTCGCCCCGAATGAGAGGGTTTGTTGGATCAGGTATAGTATGGCTTCTTTCTTGATTGAACATCACTTTCTTCACCAACCCCAAAACTGGACTTTCGCACCACCTGAGGAGAGGAATCGCAAAAGCTCTTCAGCGAGATCCCCAAGGCCGGCGAGGCCATGAAGGAGGTGAAGCGGACCCTTGGCAGATTCACGCTCCGACAGCCCAGGTGGGACTCACTCCGACTCGACCTTTTAGCGAAAAAACATGTTCGAAGATCTTCGACTAGACTGCAACAGGTTTGGCAAGGGGATCGAAGGATGGGCTGAGGGGCTGGTATAGACCTTTGAAATCAATTGACATTTAGTGTAAGTGTAAATATATATATATATATATATATTTATTATGTTTTGAACAATATACACACACTGGTAATGGCCGATCTCTATAGTGGACGTCGTTACCTCGTCGATCCCATATCGAATGTCATCATTGGGATATTGGTGGTTTTGTGCCTCGCCTCATGCAGGCCCTGTTGGTCAGAACCTGTCCATTGCCACCTTCTCAGGTTCGGTACGACTGGACCCTCCTGGCAGCTACATAACAGTGTCTTCAATCACCTAACCTGAGAAGGTGGATCCATGGATATGATATATAAGAGCTTTGGCCCAAAACTATTGGCCTCATGAGGGGGTCCATTGGCCGGGTATCGCTCCTGTTTCTCAACACCAGTGATAGGCCGTCGAGCTCATGGGGGATTGGCAGAATAGATCGGGAGAGCTCCAATCTGACCTTGATGGAGAAAGCCCACTCTTCGGGAGGTTTCATTGGAGGAAGACTCTGAGGGGATGTCTCCATAAAATACTCTTGTAACAATCTTTACTACTTAATCACCCCCCACGCATGAAGACAGGTTACACAATCCATGTTTGGGTGCACGGTTCATCCTTGTAAGATTCTACGAGGATCCTCCTGGACGTCTTGGATGACGACTTCAACAGCGACGCCTGTGGCGTGACTGAAAAGCGACAAAGACTTCGAACAGTCGTGGATGAATGACCTACTGTTTTAATCTGTTATGTCTATAGCTATATAGCTAGCCTCATTAGAGGTTCTCCCTAGGGTCAGGGGTCGTTTGACTACGTACACTTTGCTTTTTGGGTGCTTGGGATCCTGTTGAAGGCTCCGTTCATACCTATCTCAGGTGATGCTTTGAGACACTGCTTCAACTGGAAAGCTCTATATAGAGTCACGCGGGCGACGACAGAGACACGTGGGGCCAGTTAACAGAAACCCATTTTCGAAACATCATCATGATATTTTGTCCCATGGCCCTCATGACTCCAAGACACACACAGCTCCACCTCACGACTCCTCGCAGAACACCCTTTCTGCAGCGAGTTCCGCTCCGCGGAGCGAGTCGCGACGCAGGTTGCATCGCCCTGCAGCTCTTGGAGAGTGAAATGCCCGATCCCGACCTCGAGGCCCGGAGCGTCGCGACGAACTCGGGAGTTGGTGAGCTTGTTCCCCCCCCGGGATGGAACGGCGGCGTGCACATCCGAGGAATTCAGAGGTGAGGGAAGTCGACACGTTGTTCAAGTGTGGTCAAAAACGCGAAACAACGTGTTTGATGCTTTAACGTGTTATTTCTTTGACATGCCATGTGTGCCAAATGTCAAGGACATGTTCCACGAGTCAAATTTTGAGTTTGGCTTTCGGACTTGTGATGGGTTCCGATGCGCGCTGGCAGGACCGGTTGGTGCGCTTGCTGGGACACCCGTCGCCCCTGGTGCGCGCGGCGACCGTGGAGGTCTTAAGAGGTGCAAGTGCCCATCGCCTGGAGGTCTTGGGTCCGATTTGCTTGGAGGATGAGGAGCTTTTGGTGATTGGTTTGTTTGAAGTGAGCACATGTTGGAACAAGCATCGGGAGACCAATGACAGGCCTACCTTGAGATCTTGGTCATTGAGATGGAATGTATGTTTCAATATGTTTCACAGTTGTCAGTCTTTGGCCGAGAGGTGTATTTTTGCTGTCTTAATGCATGCACTCGACTGGAGCTAAAACCCGATTTGCACGACAATGTGTGAACAAACCGATCCAATGTTGTTACTGTTGTTTCGGAGTAGATGGGGGGTCCACTAATAAACCACCAAACAACTGGTCATTTGAGTGTCATCGACTCTCCATTCCACTTATTTATTCCTGCAGTCACGTTCGACGGGGTGCGGACTCCATGGAGGGTGCCGTTGGGGTGCCCCTGTCACATCCACTCACTGGATGGGACGGGCCACACCACCCAACTCCATGTGACTCCTGGTTGATGTGTCTTTTTTCTGATGAACCATGATGCCCTATAGGGCTCCAGTCGTACCTTCGTTTTGAAGGTGGGACTGGCATGGGGTGGGGTGCCAGGAGGCTCCAGTCATACCGAACCCTTTCGGAGGTCGTACGACTGGAGCCCGGCCGGAGAGATCGGAGACAGCGGAGCCGTATAGGACTCCTCAGACCGGGTGAAGACAGAAGGCATAGCCAGATGGAGCGGACGAATGGCCTTGAAAAGAGTACATGAGGCCGCAGTTTCTTCCAAGTCAGTCATTTGGGCATACTTTTGGCCATCAACAGTTTGTTGGTGTGGCGGTACATGTCCAAGGAAGAGATCAAAACCCGTTTCATCCAGCCCTGAATGAATGCAGGGATATGCAGGGTGAATTTGGACTAATTTGGCTACATCCTGAGTCGCTTGCTAAGTTGTGGGATGCGACACTGGCTGTGAAGCAAGCAGATCCCAAGCGCCTCCAACACATCCTCCCCAAAAGTCGCAGGTCCACTCAGACTCGTGCAGGTCCACTCACTGATCCGCATCCATTTTCATCTCCAACATCATCCCACTTCTATCCGGTGAGCCGATGTGTCCGCGACGTCCTGGTCCTGTCGTGGCTCACCGGCGATCGAGGAGCCCTTTGTGCGGCTGGGCACTTTGAGAGTCCTGGCGGAGCGACTTCCGCAGGAGGAGCTGCTGCCTTTGCTGGCGAAGACTCTGGAAGACCCAGCACCAAGTGTGATCCACTTCAGTTTGGAGTGCTGCTTAGACCTGCTTAGCAAGGCACCAGCCGATACCAGCAGACATGAGCCAGATGTGATTCCGGAAGTTTGAATCAGAAAGCGGCCATCATGGGATCATCCATGTGAGGCCATGTTTTTTTCAATGTGATGATTCGATGATTTGTCCGATCTTCTTGCAGTTGCACATTTCTAGATATGAGACACTTAAGCAATCTTAAGCCATTTAGGGAAATTGAATGAAATTGATGGAAATGCCTTATAGTATCATTATCTTCTTCTTACTAACAGAAATGACCGCTGACCACCAACCTTATATATAGCGTTGGCCTCCACCTAGTATACCTTCTATAGCTACTAGTAGCATCTTGTTACTAGTAATGCCAGGAGCAGTAGCTTCTTGCTCCGTTCGTAGCGATGCCCTTTGTTACGTTCATCCCCAGGTTTCCAAGAGCACGGCCTCCAGCCGCCCGCCTTCGCTCTGCGCCGCGCGGCGCAGCACGTGGATCCACAGCTGCGGCGCGTCGCCGCGCGCTGGGCCGCCGACGCCGCGACGCCGTGGCCGGAGACGGATCCGGTGGTGCTGGAGCTGCAGCGGTTCCGCCGAAAAGGGGTGCTGGAGCGGCGACCGGTGGAGAGATACAGAGAGTGCTGGTGGGTGGGAGTTCTTGGGTTTTTGGTTGTTATCTGCCTGATTGTTCCTATTTTGGGTCCGGAGGACAAATTCTGCATGGGTAGATGTGGTGGGGAAAGGTCCAAATTCTTCAGTTGGTGTTTTCACAGCTTGGTGTATTTTTACTTTGTTTTTCAGTTGGCCTTTTGGATCATTCCAGTTGGAGGGTCGTGCCATGCAACCCTGTGGTGAGGCCACCAGGTGGGGTAAGATGAGTCATTGGAAGTTTGTGAGTGATTCTGCTGCCCAACACAGCCCCCGTCCGGTGATTGCGATTACTGCCATTCGAAGATGAACGTAGTATGTTCGAGGTGCCGTGTTGACCAGCAGGGTACAGAAGATGCATGACGAACCTTACCGTTCCAGCAAGACATTTTTCAAGGGTTTTGCAACCGGGACTTTACAGTCCAGCAAACGGACAAATCTACTTGGCCATGCCCATCATTCCTCACAATCTTCACGCCTTGTGCCCCAAAATGGATTATATAACAGAGTTCATAGGGGTTTTAGCATGCATTTGATTATTTTAAGACTTCAGAACCGTTTCATGTTCCCTTCAGCCCCTTGGTTGCTTCAACTTCCACGACAGAGGCCGGCGGCCGGCGTGTTGTATCGCTGTTTCGGTGCGTGGCGGTCGCTACGAGCCTCCAGGGGGTGAGCGTCGATCAGAGAAGCAGAGAGCGCAGCTTTCTCGGAAGGACAGCAGAGAGCTCACAGCTGATGAATCCAGCACTGACAGACACTGAGCACATGAACTGATTCAATACATGAGTGTGGTTCACCAATATTCAAGGACCTTCAACGTACGATATTTACACCGGGGACGGAGTTTGAAAGGGTTCCGCACCACGAAAATCACCAAACACTGAACCAAACCCACAAACCCGGAGGTCAGCTGACGTTGGAGTCCGAGTCTACCAAAACGACTTGTTTCATGATGTTTACGTCAAAGATGCCGCCCTCATCATCGATGCTTGCTGAAGTGGGCGTGTGCGCGCCCCGCGTGGAGACCGTAAGGCTTTCCATTCGACGTTTGGATGGTGAAGTGCTACTTCTGGAGGTGTCCTCAGACTCGACGCTGCGAGACTTGAAAGATCGTTTGCGGGAGGTGCAGTTACGGGAGGCGCAGTTTGCCACAGATGAGGTCACAGTGAGTCTCACCACAGTGGAGTTGCTGCTGCAGGGTGAGGTGCTACAAGACAACAAGGCCACTGTGGCTGAGCTAGGATTATCTGAAGAGCAGGATTTGCAAGTGCTTTATAGCCTCTTGGATGCAGCGCTCGACCTGCCGGAAATAAAAGGGGGAGACTCCACCATCCCTAAGAGCAAGGCCAGGGAAACCTGGCCACCTTTCTCCACCTCGGAACAAGGGCCGTAAACCGGGCCCAGCGTTGTGGTTAGCGCGCGCACATGCGGTTAGCGCATATTTGCCCATTCCGTGTTGTGGTCGTTGTGTGTGGACTTCAGCACGTCCCCGGAAGGTTCGACGCCGAACACCTGCGCCAGGCTTGCAAACCGTGGAGTGTGCGAGCCAAGAAGAATCCGGCTGTGAGAAGGAAGACTTGCGTGTGGTGGTGGTCCCGGAGGGTGTCTTGGCAGTAGGACTGTGCGCTTTTCAAGGTTGTAGCGCCTTAGTCGCTTGGAATTGCTTCAGTGACATCTTTGAACATGCAGGACCGGACAAATCAGCCAAAACCTGCCAATGCTTTCCCCCCAATAGTCAAAGTGGTTGTGGTGATTATTGGCATTGGTGTTCTATGTATATGTACCTGACCCAGTCCCAACAAATGCTTTTTCAGGTCAGAGCCCTCCCCAAAAAAGATTAGGTGCCTTCGGTTCGTGACCTTTTTGTTTATCTCTATAGGCTATAGGTATGTGACCTGTGATCCGGGACTTTTGGTGACCTCAGAGATCTCAACGACTCCTTTGGGTCAGAGGTGATCGATGTTTTCCCTGCCCAGGTGAGTGTGAGGCTTCCGCAAGCACTCACCTTTGTGGGTGATTCGGCCTTCCAAGACTGCCTCTCTTTGGCGAAGATGGCCCTGCCCATGTCGGTGAGCTACCTGGGCACGGACGCCTTTCGGAACTGCAGATCTTTAGTCAGCGTGACTCTTCCCGAGTCGCTGACGCGTCTGAGGGAGTCGCGTGGATGGAAACGCCAGTTAGTCGAAGCCATTTGGGGAGGAGTTTTTTTGGCGCCAGGTTTAGAGCACCTTTTCTCTATGCAGGAGTGCTGAATGCTGGTCGAGTCCATGGTTTGTATATGTCTCGTGTCACTGAGGAATATGGTTTACCCACCAAAATCTAGAAAGGTTCTACCAGCACCACGGAAAGAGTATCCATTAATAGTCCTTAGAGGTCTTTCGGGGTGTCCATCAACCACCCCGACTGGGGATCCAGGTAATTATACATATAGGATTATGTTACTTCAGCCGCCATTTTTGATCATTAGGCCCTCCATGGCAAGGCTCGTTGGGGGTCTCCGCCCTCAAAACCATTCCCATGGCTTTGGGCCCAGATTCTTAGGGTAGGTAGAATTCGATGCTCACGTTTTGGTCCAAGCACCCCACCAAGAGAGGATGAAGTGACGTAAACTGCGGCACTGAACTGGGAGAGTCTCCAGGGGTGTCTTTGCGAACTGCCGCTCCTTGACCTCGGTGCTGATCCCCGACAGCATCACCACCATTGAGAAGGCCGTTTTCCGTGGCTGCAGTGCTTTGCGCAGTGTGACGCGCCTGGGTTCGCAGCGATGTCGTCTGCCTTGAAACGTCGGAAGTCCGCAGATCATCGGGACTGGAACATTTGAGACAATTGGGGTGGTGTTGAAGATGTTTGCAAAAGGGTCTCTAGTCGATGTTGGCACATATTCCAGAAAATGAATTTTGGGAGAGAGATTCAACATAGAGAACCAGGAGCCGGAAAAACTGATCGCTTGAGGTCGGCTGGGTATCGGCTGTCTTGATCAGGAGGCTCCTTTCCGGAGCCTCAACCGCCACCAAAAGTAAGAAAGAGTCACAACATAGCTGCTCACCCTTGGCCAAGGTACATGTGTGAGTTCATCCATGAAGATATGGCCAGAAGATTTTGCTCAGAGATCTATTTAGGACCTTTAGGATCTTGGAATCTATATAAAGTTGAATCTCTTACATCTACCACATCTGGTGAATGATCAGTGGAATTGCAGTGCTTTTCAGCCAAAAAGGGATGAACCACCGTTTCGCTCCACCTTCACGTTCGCCGAACACGTTCGTACGAACGGGTCCAGGCTTCCGAGCCTGGTCTCCAGCATTGGGATTTGCGCCTTTCAGAGCTGCAGCTGCTTAGACCAGGCGCGCGACCTCGATCACACGTGAGATCACTGGAATCAGATCCGCTGCTTGGACGGTTTTCTTCCCCGGTGTCAGATCACTGTTGACTCCCAGCCGACAGAGGCACAGACGTCCATTCCCAAGTGATCCAAGCCGTTTTGGCCAGATGACGATCCCGGAGTCGGTGACCTTCATGGGTGCTGGTGCGTTTCAGAACTGCAGTGGACTGGTCAGCGTGACACTTCCAAACTCTCTGACTTCCATCAATTTCAGCACCTTCAAGGACTGCCATTCGTTGGCCACTTGGAATCTAAGAGTTGCTTCTTGTGGTCATGACTTAATGTATTTAATATAGAATTGCTCGGCTGCTTGAAAAGGCCATGGTGCTCTCACCCTTTTTCTGAGCCAACGCCCCAGTTGCGAGGCCACCATCAACATCCCGGACTCAGCGACTCGGCCCTACTAAGCGTTCGATGTGTTTTTTTTCGTCCGACCAAAAAACGGCCAATGCCGTGAGTCCGGGATAAGGATGGTGCGGGATCGCGTGAGTGAGGCATTGGATAAGATGGGGCCCCAACGGGTGACATGCTACCAGGAGCCTGTTTGGGTGTCCTGGCTGGACTACCCTACACCATTCTTCTGGGATCTCCAGACAGGACACCCACTGGATGGTCCTGTTAGGCTTGTACCTCAATCCAAAGTGGCACAAGGGGGCCTTGGTCCATCTCAGGTCCTATGAGTGAAGGTCTCGGGTTTGGAAGGAAGCCCTTCCAGGTTTCCTTGCTCCAAACCTACCGGCTTCAGAGCTGTTCCAAGCTCTTCCGCCTCACAGTTCCGCATAACACGCGTGCACGCGCACCCGCCTCGCGAAGGTGGTGGCCATTGGCCATAAGGCCTTTGAGAATTGCCGCTCCTTGGTGATGTTGACTCTGCCGAACTCCATCGTCTCTGTGGGTGCCGGAGCCTTCGCCGGCTGCGCACTGGAGAAGGTGAGTTTGCCGGACTCGGTGCTTTGGTGAAGTGTCGGTTCTTCAGTCGGACGTCGATTCTGGTGAGCTTTTTGATTGGTTTGCTCGCCCCAAAAGGTCAATGATCAGGGCATATCAAACGAACTGCTTATCAATGTGGGTGCTTTAAAAAATAGAAATAATACACAAAATCCCAACGACCGCGCTTCAACAAGAAGCTCCAAAAAGATCTGCGCTTCAGGAACTCTTGAGAGTTGAGATGTCATTCCATGAATTTGGAGCCCAAAACAGCTGTTTTGGGGGGGGGTTTTGTGGATGTTTTGTGTGGAAGCCATTCTGCATAGGCTTCAGGCGAAACAGGTTCCCAGATGGGATGAAAAAGCATTAAACACGTCAAAAACGGGCCCATGGGGCTCAAAAGAAAGGAGAAACACAAGAAGAACCCAGAAGAACTTGAAAGATGCTGAAAGTCTTACACCACCTGAGTTGTTCATATTTGAATATATATAGGTGCGCAGTGTTTGTCGACTCAAGCAAGAAAAGTCAAACACTCCCGGTGCTGGCCGACTTTGGTTCCTTGGACCGTGGACCGAACACCGGACCGACCGAGGTGAAACACCTGGAGCGCGGTGCCTTCGAAAACTGTGGAGCCTTGACACAGGTCCAGGTGCCACAGACCTTGTCCTGCAGCACCTGGACGCCGCGAAGACCGAGCGCGATGAAGACGGCGATTCGAGTCCTCGTCCTCGTGTCGAGCGCGGACACGCGGAGGGCGATGATGCTCGCGATCGACACAGCGGTTTTGGGGGTAGGAAATAGATGAAATAGCATGAGGATGCATGAGGTAGGGCGGAAGAATCAACTATGTTGACGTAAGGTAGGGTGCAGGAATCGAAGAATGAGATGAATCACTATGACCTCCATGCAAGCATGTTACAAAACATGCACAAAGGACTGGGCCAATTCATGGGTTTGATTTGGTTAGGCCAAACCATGGGTCGTTCACATGCCAATAGGCCCTTCGGCTTGACCCTTGTTGGGCGTAGACCCTTGGGGGTCCGGTCGATCTCCAAGGTACTTTGAAGGATGCGGGGCTTGTGTCGGGCAGCTTCTCACACACCTGCGCCATGTGCTAAGATGTAGCTGCTGATGTAGCTGCTGCTGAATCGGTGATCTGAGCTCCATCCTGTGACCTGTGTGTTGGTGACCGGGGCCGGTGAACATGGCGGAAAAGAAGCGGCGTGTGGAGACTGTGGAGCGAGGCGGTTTCGGAGAAGCAGGGGGGGCCAGCGAAGCACAGGTCACAGCGCAGCTCAAACAAAGACTATAGCGACACCACTGGGAGAAGAGTAATGACTTGGAGAGAATCGGATGGACTGAGGCAACTGGAAGCGACATCATTCCTAGAATCCTAGAATATATATATATATATGTCAGACTTCTGGATTTTGGGGTGTGGGTGAATGTCCGGATTCCCCCATGGTAGGTTCACAAGCCTGGCAGCCTGCCTGGTTGTTCGTGTGTGTTGATTTGAGTGCCTGAGCCAGGCAGAACCTGTGGGGTGCGGACCTATGGCCCAGATGGATCCATATTGGTCCATATGGCCTACTCCATGCGTGTGTGGCGCTGTTCCCACATGAGCGCCACACATCCGCATCACCCGGCGACCAAGGATCTTGTCCTTGGAGTGCATTGATGTGGACGTCCCTCGGAGAAAACAACACGCTCGATCTCATCGACGACAGGTCCGGACGACGTGGCAACGACCTGACACCCACCGGCTGGTGTCCGCGGACAAACGCGCCGCCGTGTGAAGAAAGAGGTGGGTTTCCCAAGATGCCAGTGCTCTCAGGGTATAGGGTCATATAGGTTCAACAGGCGTCACTTGCAAAAAAGAAAAGAGACCTCCAGAAGAGACCTCTCAGTGACTAGTGGGAAGACTCGACGACATGTTTTTAGTCAGATTTCCAGATTTCACCTCAAGGACCTCAAGACTCGAATCTAATCCGGAAAAAATATAGACACACGCACAGAGGCTCCCTCCACCCAGTGATTCGCACTGGTTTCTTCGCCGGTCACCAGTCACTCTCCACCCTTTCTCCGGTCGCTCGTCCGGGCTGGACAACTGTGTTTGAGGTCAACACTGGGCGCCACTCGCCGCTCTTCGCTTGGCTGGTCTCGTCCAGACACCTGTTTGCGGTGAGTGTTTTTCCACATTTTGCTCCATGTCTTTTGCATGGGGGTTCATATGAACCACCTTTTGCGGATTGGGGATTGTGCCATCTACTCTGAAACCACTGTAGATCAGCGCGGCCAAGATTACTGCGGGCCCATTTTTGGGTGCATGCAACAACCATAAAGTGCCCCACAACCTAAAGGGATTGAGTTGATTTGAGATGGATTGAGTTCAGTCGACTGAACAAGAAGATGGATCGGTGTTTTGTTTTCCTTGCACTCTGTAGCCTCCACCCAAGTGTTTACCAAAAAGAGCTTCTCCACATGTTTGTTTTGCCCTAAAAGGACCCTAATTTGATCATCGCTCGGTGGTCATTTGTCATACATCGTCATTGAGTCAGTCATGTGGGCGAAGCATTCCGCGGCGATCCGCACCGGCGCGGCCATGGTGTTGTCGATGCGGCTCCGTGGTCATGTGTTTTTTCTCCTGCCATGGCCATGTGCATGGCTCTAAGACTTAGGGACACCCCAAAACGAAAGACACAGACTTGCGGATTTAGATGGGGTTGGACTCGGTTGAGTAGTGGGCCATGGTGTGTGAAAGACATGAAGTACAAAGATAAACCCCTGATAAACCTCATTTACAATACTATACCAATTTATATGTGTGTATAATCATGAAATCTAATCATGACAGATGTATCCTCTAAGGATACTAAGAGGTACACTTGCCCAATGTCATCTCGAAGTATCATGCCAATGGATGTAGTTTCTTCATGACGAGACTTTGGCCACAGCCATTTGGTTCGACTCGAAAAGCGCAGCAAGTTTAGCTGGAGAAAGGCGGTGAACGTGATGTTCATCACAATCGTGACGATGTGCCTTCCCCTTGCCTGGGCCGGAGATCATTTTCTGCAGAAGAGGGCCGAAGATTGTGATGTGACAGGGCACTTTAGCTGCAATACCACGGTCTTTGATGAAATGGGCGAGATCACCTTCTATCCCAATGAGAAGGACGAGGTGACGTTGATCAAGAACAACTACGCAAAGTTCATGCGGGTTGGCCTTCACTATGGGGTTGACAACCATGAAATTCAACATTGCGCAAAAGTGCCCTCACCACACCTCACCTACCGCTGTGCCATTGTCGAGACTGTAGGGCAAGATCCCAACGCTCGCTTCCACGATGCCTTCACAGACTATGTCTTCAATGACGATTGCAGCGCTTTTACCAAGGTGGGGACACATTTGTCGAACACCGCTGTGGTGAATGTGGAATGTGCTCGCATCAAAAAGTGAGCGTTCACAGCTTGTCTTCCAGTTTGCGTCCTCTTGTAAAGTCAGACGCCTGCATCTCTTTATCACCTTCATGCCCAAGGTTTCCCTTGTATAGGCTGTGGAAGCTGACTAAGCTGGGTGCCTGCTGAGAAGTTGCAGCAGGAAAGGTGAATATATAATTCGATTCGATTCAACTATATCCAAATCCTGCTCGAGCATCAAGAGAGTGCGAGTCGAAAAAGATTGTTGCGTATAGATAGTCTTTCCGTGGAAGCTGAACATCAAATTCCGGAAGACCAATTCCCTGTTTGACGTTCCATGTTGATGGATTGTACCGAATTGTACCATTTGTAAATGAGTTTGATCAGCATTAACTTTGCCCATGAACATCACACAGTACTGGACTGAGGTCTTCTGCTGAGTCGATTCGATACTGTCCACATTTTTGTCATGGAGACACCAACATGTTTGAGTTTCCAGAGCCACCAGCATGTGTGTTGCAGCAGATTGTGCTGGCTTGAATGAGCGCTCAGCTCATTCGCTCCCATCGATTGTTAGCAACAAATTGATGTTTTCCGGTCTCTTCACTCGTGACTCCTGGATGTTGCATTTGACATCATTTGACCAAGCCTGCCTGGGCCGCCCGGTCAGTCAGTGCGCTTGCGCTTGGGGTTCTGCCCGGCTTAGGCTTCCTGGCGTGCACCGGTGATAGTGCTTTGGTGGTGATGATGTCACTGAGCTGACGTCTGTTACGTTGCGACGGAAAACCCGCGGAGGGGTTGGATTTTGTTTATGAGCTGCACATGAGTTATCCAAGGATCGTTTTGTATTTTTGATGTATTAATTATTGCAGTCAACAATAACAACAAGAAGTCAACTTGGATAAACATATATATATATGCGATATATGGTTAGTATGTTAAACCAGTATATGTTTTGTGTTTTCGATATTTTAGATGGTCTTTGAGGGCTATACAGCTCTTTTCAGGGTGGTCTTGGACGACAGACACCTGGACCGGGTGTGTGTGACCATGTCCAGACCGCTGGGCCGGGGTGCCCCGTCGTCACATCCACGGCCCCTGGATGGGTCAACCCGTCGAACGTGACTGCTGGCATGACTGCTGGCTTCTGTTTTTCTGCAGCGCTTGTGAAAGAGCTTCTGGACAGAGTTGGTCAGAGGCTTCAGAGGCTTCAGAGGCTTCGGGTTTCGGATGGATGTCCCCCTAGATATTCTGTCGGGCTTTGACTCCACAGATCCATCCAAATCATGCCCAAAAGCCCTCCGGGATGATGCTGAATTGTGGCTGACAAGTCGTTAGAGTCGCTTCAGGTTGGTCACCACCTTCTTCATGTGCATCATCACCTATAGCTTTAACACTCCTGCCACTTGGATTTCAGGGTGGTTTGTTGCATCGGGAGATTTCATATGTAGTTGTTCTTTTTCTCTGACTCCTGCCAAGCTCTTGATGAGAAGGAACAAAGCGGAGAAAGGATGGAAAAGGATCGAGAAGGGGCTTTGAAACATGGCTCCCGACACATGACTAACTTTCCATATCAGTTTATCAGTGTTTCTTGTAAGTTGCAGAGTTGGAGTTGTTGTTGTTGTTGCTGTTGCTGTTGCTGTTGCTGGTGTTGTTGTTGTTGTTGTTGTTGTTGTCGTTATCAGTTTTCAGTGTTGCAGAGTATGTTCAAACCTAACGGTATTATAAATGGATAATCCACATCACCAAACATCACCCTCGAAATAAGTCCAAGACCGATCATGAAACATCAACGGGACCGTCATTGATTCCTTTGGAATAGTGTGGTCGTGACCCACCTGGAACCCGTCCACGGTGAACTGCTCTATCTCCTGGTGCGACCCACGTCACCGTGTCCCGACTAAGGAGCGCTACGACTACATCCGTGTGTCTTTGCTGCCCGTGCGTGTTGCTGTATCCGTGGGCATTGCACTGCAATCGAACCAGCTCTCGCAGTACATCTCCGTGTTGGCGCCGAGCTCAGTGTTCGGTGGGGGTGACCGCAGTGGTTCTGTAGGGCACATCCGAAGGTAGAGATGCCCCTAGCAGTGCCGCACCCACCCCAACCACCTGAGGATGTGGGCCCAGGTGTAGGGGTTGATTGTTGGGCTGATCATATATCATGAGCCTTACCGACATAGGCCCTAGGCCTTGGTTTGGGGCACCAACTCGCACCTGTCACGATGTCACCCAAGGCAGACATAATCCGCGAGCTCGGCTGCGTGGTGGGTGGTTTTCTCGATCGGCCTTCGACTGAGATCTTTTCCTATCTGAGCATTTTCGTTCTGGTGATCGACTTTATCTTGGGAGACTTGTTCCTGCTACTCGGGCTCAAGAGATGGGACGAAAGGGGTAGAAGACGAATCCGAGCTGACGAGAGACGAGGGTCGGACTTCAGAGACCCCAAAGGAATCATGTTGCACTGCTTGACTAGACTAGTGACTATGGTGTTTTCTTTTTCCAGCCCATATCCTCACTGTGTCCTTGCATCCTCCTTTGGAAGTAGTCAAGAGAGAAACCTGCTGTCATATTTCTCTATAGTCAAGAGGTTTTCTCAGATTTCAGATGCAATGCATGACATAATTTTTCCGAGTCTTCTCCCTATCGCTTTTCGCAAACGATGTCCTCCGTCCTATATATATATATAGGTCCCCAGTCCTTCGACCTTCACCGGTGGTTCCCACGGGGTGTGCTCATGCACGGGGTTTTCTAGCATGTGGTAGCCAAATAAAATCATCATCAGCATGTCCATGCACAAAAAACACTCATGCAGATGCATGTTGTACACAGACATCGTAAACAAGGATTAAAAGGGAACACGCGTTGCTTGCCTGTTCGGGTTTGTAAGCATGCACTCCGAAAACATGTGCTTGGAGGGTGTTTGTCGACTGATTTAGCTGGTGCTAAATCATTCCAATTCCAATCTTCACTCAGCAACATGTAGAACTGAAATTGGATCAGGATATATCAGGTTTGTAGAACCAACAAGCAGCTTTGCAGCTTTGTGTTTCCAGGCTATGGGCCTATCGCTTCCAATGCTCCTACCGGGTGCGCAGTGGACGTCGTCTGTGCGTGGTTTCGTGTGTTACGCGGTGAACTGTGCTTCCTACGGACGGTCAGAGGGCCGGTTGATTTTACTGGAGATGGTCATTCAAAGCCACTACTTAAGGAGGTCAAAGACCAGGTTTTACTGGGTCAGACTGGACTTGCAGGGAGTAGTTTCTACAATATTTGCTGGGGAGAGGGCCCTTCTCCCCTGAAAGCATCATGGTCACGTGGATGGGGGGCCATTGTCCACTTCCATGTTTTTGTTGGAGGAATGGGTAACCATCATTGTTGAATACTTTTGCTTGGACGAGTCAAAACAACATGTGAGTTCCTGGAAAGCGAAATGTGTTGAGCAGTTGAGCGCGAAGTGTGTCGTCCATCTCATTTAGTTTGGAGGGATTGCTGGAGCAAGGAAGATTTTGCGAGCCATAGCGACGGCCAACAGGCCATTCCAAACAAGGATGGCCAGAATGGCCAGGATGGCCTCAACAATCCCCCCTGAACGCTGCAGAACAATCCGCCGACCCTGGGGGAACCCCCCCGCGGACGAATCCACAGCTTGCAACAGTTCCCAAGGGAACTGATTCACCTCTGGCGGCTCGGGTAGTTCGAAATTCAATTAACCCCCCTAGGGCTCCAGTCGTACCTCCTCCGAAGGTTTGACTGGAATAACCCACCACGGTCCTACCTTCTCAGAAGGTACGACTGGAGCCCTAGGGTTCAGTCTCTTTCTTGGCGGGATCTCTATGTCCATCACTGGCCACATATGGCGCCAGCACGTTCTGGACAGGTTTTGGCAGCTGAGCAGACTGGAGGGTGGAGTCACCGTTTTGCTCGGTCTTGAGGTCATTAAGGACAATCTCTGGAGACGCGAGCGTCAAAAAGACGCGAGACAATCATTGACATCCTCAAAGAGCCTCGATGCGTCAATGCGGCATGTGTCTCAGTGAAGGCATGTCCTTTTGCTTTCTCCCTGCTGCCTGCACAGAGCCATCAACTGGCGTGTTGGCACATGCCTCCAGTGTGACCTTCACAACAGCAACCCGAGACCCGAGTCTGCACCCGCCAAGAAAGCAGGACGCATGTGGTTTTGCTCCACACGCACACGCACTCACTACGCGCGCGTTTTTTCGCCACAGACTCGCATCACAGATCAGTTGGCATCGCAGGACGCAGTCGCCCTCGCAGTCGCCCTCGGTCCAGTCGCCCGCGGACTCCCTCGGTGGAGTCGCCGTCTGTGCAGGTCTTGGACATACTTCCCGCACGGGTCTTCCTCTGTGCCCGGGAGGGCGCCGCCCACCTGGATGACGCCCCTCGGAGAGAGAGAGAGGGTTCCGGTTCCGAGGCCGCAGGGCAAGGGAGTTGGAGAGGGTGAACGGATCGCGGAGGGTCCCGAACGTAGAGGAGAGGATCAGCATCAGTGCATCAGCATGAACATGTGGAACAACAGAAAGCCGGTGCAGTTGATGTAAAAACCTTGTAAAAAAACATACCTCATTTCTGCTAAAAGAGGCCGAGGCAGCATGAGGCAGCCGAGGGCTTGGAGGATGAGCAATTTTTTGCTGATGGGCAGTCGCTCTCAAGCTCGGGGGGGTCGCAGAAAGTACACCCCCAACTCCTCCACTGCGAAAAACGGCCTGAACGGTTGCTGCCGATCACATGATGATCATCAAACATCTCATACAGCATTCTTGGGGTCGACATCCCATTACCTGTAAGAGTCAGTAAACAAGAACATCACTAATTATTGTTGAACATCACTATTTTTGAACAAGGCCTGCAACCAGGCCCCATCATCATCCACTGGGCCCTGGTAGACTCGGATAGACCCAAACTATAAGGTTATGCTTCGAAACTGAGTAAGTGCCTCTCCAAAACAGAAAAGAAAACAACACCACCCACTTAATCTGTTGAAGAGGCAATGGAAGGGTACGATTATGTTGGGCAGAGATTGATCTCCACCTCCGGCTCTAGAAACCACACCTTGACTAGGAGGACTATGGGAAGAACTGCTTGAGCTTTCTCACCTTGGCAAGTAGAACCAGAACAAATGCACCAGCCCCCCTCAGTTCCCCACAACAGATCCAAAGGGATTCTCATCAGTTCAGATCCACCGCGATTCCGATCTCCAGTCCTTTCGTTCACCGCCCGGTCGCCGTCCTACCGGGTCGACCGAGGTCCTGGGGCACCGCATCGGCATCACCACCGAGGTCATCGGCTGTGCTGCTCGAGCGAACGGGAGCCAACACGCCCTCTCCCCCCCCGGCCCTACGCGGCGTGGGTACAACGAGTCTTTCGGAAAACGAGGAAAACGCGAGACATTCGGAAGTGGCGTGGGGTGGAGGCATGGAGGGTTGGAGGCAGAAGGAGACGGAAGATGAAGGAAGGAGAAACTCGCTGCAGAATGGAGGGTCCTTTTCGCCATGGAAGGAGTTGGCTGGGAAAGCTTTGGGCGCCCCGTCCGACGCCCGTCAGGCCCGTCACATCGTATAGGACTGGCAGCGGACCTGAGGCTTGGGATAGCCGTTATTCGCTCATTGCAGATTTGAAGTGCCCCAGATGCAAGATGAACAGGTGCTCGGAGCAGTATAGTGGCTTCAGATACACTTCGATAAGCACCACATGGGTGGTAGATGAGAACAGTCTGCCTTAGGGGTCCATTTTTCATGCTTTCCGTCTGCAGGCTGCAGGCCAGGGTGGTATTTTGTTATGTTCACGCCTGCAGACTTGGGATGATTGGAATCCCTAATACGTGTTCAAACGAGTTGACACCAACCGGGTTGGATTTGTGATGTGGATGTGAGTGATGCCCCCCCAAAAAAAATTGCTATAACATGCTTTATCCTTATAAATAGTACTGCAAATAGATGGTTCTATATGCGAACTGTTCCCCCATCTTCCTGCACATGCAAAAACGAACCCACAAATTGACATGGAATGAAATGGGATGGCCGTATTGATCGGCCAAGCTTCATGGAAGATGAAGAAAGGGAGCGGTGGCTGAGGCATTTGGCTCGCTGACTGAGTCTCTTGAAGCTGGCTTTGGGGGTACAAACCTTTAAGGATTTTTAGGTGATTGTTGCTTTTTGTTTTAGTGTTGAGTTGTGCATCGCTTAGGGTTTAGAAGAGGCTGCCAGCGTAGACGGGCTTCTTCTCTTGGGGTTGTCCAAGAAGTCATTTGGAAGTTCCGGGTTCAACAAGCACACCTGTGAGAAGCCCAAGGTATGATACACCCCTTGAAATCAACATGACGTATATTTGTAGAGGAAAACAGTCATCCATGTAATACTTCAATAGCCTTCCTGAAGTGGAGGAAGCCCTTCTCTGTTTGGTCTTTTCTAGTCGTTGACGGCATCTTTCTTCGTTGACTATTCGTTTGGGGTACTGATCCCACACCTGCGCCCACACATCTACTAGGGCCCAGAAAGGTTATATCCACGAATTCATTGCCCGCTTTAGAGGTTAAACAGTTTGGAGTCCAATAATTAGTATCCAATATAATTAGCCAACTGTTCATTTTGGATATAGATTCAATAATATCAGTTAGGTTAAACAGTTGGGGATCCTGAGTTCGTTTTCTGCAACAGTCGCGAGCTGCTTCCTCCGCTCAGTGGCTTGATTTGCGAGCTGCGGCGACCACGCATGGAAGAGCTTCAAGCTTTGGTTCAGGAGAAGATTGGCCTCCACAAATCTGCAGGGATGTGGGATGTTTCTTCTTGTCTCACAATTTGGGAGGGATGCATCCATCGAAATTCTGTGCAGGGATGGTGGAGGATGAACATCTCCCCCAAAACAAACGTCACGACTGGTCGGGGGTCCTGGTGGGGTGCCCAGTGACTTCGTTCGGTCGGACTCGTTCGGTCGGACTTGTTCGGGGTGCCCTTCTTCTTCGAAACCACGGCAGGACTTCCAGGAGAACCAGGAGGACTATGGCTTCCTCTCCGTGAAGTGTTTCTCCACCGATCGGCCCAACTTCGCTGCGCTGGAGCAGGCGGGGGAGGGGTGGCACCAACGAACCGAAGCCATATGGTGAGAAGGTATCGCATATAGATCTATCACAAGTGATATATCATATACCCTGGGAATCAAAGACATTCGAAGACCAGGAAGACTTCGACGTGCTCCGAGGACATTCCTCTCCGCGAGTTGAATCGCCTCATCGAGATCCATCGTCGACAACATCTGTGGACGTGGAGATCCTTCGTCGGTGAAACAAGCGATGGCCTTGTTCGATCGTCCGTCGTCGGCGGCAGAGAAACGTTGTTTCGAGGCGGAGCCGGGGCGTAGCCAGTTCTTCCTGAAACAGGGAGCCCCAACCACCCTTGCTAGTTAAGGCATGTATTTGGGAGACCGCAAAGGAGGAAGATTGGGGCAGCATTCTGCAGAGTTTACTTTGCTGAGTGCTCGGGGCTCATCCCAATACCAACGGAAGGTTTGCCACGCTGTTACTTGTGTTCAACCTGACATTTACTGCCATTCTGCGGGTCACTTGGACCAAAAGAAATTCTCCAGTGTGCGAGCCTGAACTCATTCAGCCAACACATAGTTCTAAAAAGCTCGGGCAGAAATTATAACTGCATAGAACCATGCCATAGATGCTTGGAACCCCTTGGCTCTCCAAGTGCTTCGCTGCTTCGGCCAAAACGATGCGAACGAAGCATTCACTTCGGCCTTTAAACCTCGAGTTTCCGCAGTCGGAGTAGCTGAGTAGCAGCTGTGGAAGCAACGGGCTTTTTGTGGGCGGTAGCACCCTCAGCAGATCTTGGTCATTGTACGTGGATCAATTAACCTCGTTCCCTGCACAGTCTCCCCGGCCCGGCCCCAAAAGAACCTGTCATTCAACACCTTATTTTTGTGTGAGCCGCTTGCACTCACACTTACAATCATCATCCACCTTAAATTGAATTGATGTGTGGTTTGTTGTTTTTGCACTTGGAGATTGGCACACTCTTGGAAGTGTGTTCGCATCACTCCCTCCAATTCTTCCGGACACCGAAGCCTCAATCAAGTTGCTCCAGCTGTGCCATCAACTGCCCCCGGTGACCACCGCGACGGCCTGCGATAGCTCACCGGAGACCCCCCCGTGAGATCCGCCGGAGAAGCCCCAACGAAGGGCGCAACGCGCAACACGCGAAACGCGACACGCGAAACGCGTGACGGACGTGGTGAGCAAGCGACAGAAAGTTCAGGAATGGTGAGCAAGCGCGATATGAAGTTTCCGGAGAAGAAGGGGGCAGAGGTCTTGGAGCTGAAGAAGCAGCTGCTGAAACAGACTCAGAGTGAATGAAGGATTGATATGCCACACCGGCCTTCACACAATTGATGGTAGTGATGTCAATACTGATGTCAATGTGTATATTAACCCTCAGTCATGATCCAGAAAACGGCTCATGGTTGGAGTTTCTCGAACTGCACACTGCCCAGAAACTCCATGTATGATCATGTGAACCTACATTCACCCCTACATTCACCAATGTAAAAGAATGTAAATACAACACCCAGATACTCCATGTTTGTCACAGTGTTTGTCACAAAAATGCCTACACATTGACCCCTTCTGGCACCACCACCCCGACTGATGGGTACCAGTCCCATGAGAGGTTACAGGAGAAACCTGAAACATCGAACCTTTGGGATCGATTGTGCTAGGTTCGAAGTGCCCGAGCGAGCCTCTACACACACTGACATCCAACCCAATTCACCCTGCGTCGACGACATCACCCGTCTCACCCGAAGATTTCTGGCTCGCTGACATCCGCAGCATGTAGCAATCGCCGGATGTGACGCCAATGGCTGCGAATGCTTGGGGGGTATGGTATAACCCGGTAACCAGCGAGGTGCATGGGGTGTACAAACATGGCGTGAGACGACTGGGGAGTTGTTGCTGTGAACCAGTGGCGGACCACGAACCGGATGTGACCGGCGAGTCATGGCCATCGGGGGCCAATTCAGGTGCTCTTGATGTGACGGGCGAACTAGCGCTAGTCGGCCGCGGGCCAGGCAGTGCTGTTTTCATGCTGTATGGAGCATGTTCTTGTCATGCAGACTTGCTACTGTATGACATATTATGCCATTGACACCCCTTGTCCCGCGTTCCAAATTTTGCGGGACATCATGTTTAGTCCAGGGAATGTGGGGAGTTTCACCACTGGCCAAATCTCAGCCTTTGTCAAAAAATAGCAGTGCCTGGTGTCCGAACACGCTGGGCGAAGCTCAAGCGTGAGCGAGACAAGGTGAGAAAAGAAAGGACATGCAACAATCATGCACCATGAACACCGCAGTTGCGTTTTTAAACACATAGCTCTGAGCATATCAGGAAGAACTGAAGAAACCATGAAAAACACCATGAAGCACATCACTCCGGAGCGGGCCCCAAATACTCTGGACCCCACCCTGGCAGATCGATGGTGGCGCTTCACCCCCGAGGCTCTGGGGTGACGCCCTTATTGGCGGCGGCGAGCCGCGGGTTCCAGGTCACGAGGAGTCGCCGAGCCCTTTGGAGCGGGCCGACGTCAGTTTCATTGCAGGAGGTTTCCAAGTAAACAAACTCCAATCCACTACACCTGTTGAGGCCACACCTTGAGCCTCAACAAGAGGTATGTTCTTGTTGCACTCGGATGGCCACAACGTTTGTAGGTTATAGGTTCTAAGAGGCGCGATGTCACGCTGAATACAGGGGATAGGTCTCCTTCATACCACGTTCTAACCCTGTAAACAGCGCATTGGAGGCTCCAAAGTGGCTCGTTGGGCCAAACGATGGAGGCTCCACTGGGCCGGTCCGACGTCCTCGCGGAGGACCCTCATCGGTTTGGGCGCCAACTGCTCGGTCATTGATCACCAGGCGGGCCGCGGAGCACGCGCTTGTTGAGCTCCCAAACGGTAGGATCGAAGGAGGTTCGAAAGAGGTAGACCACAAGTGTTTTCCTTTTGGCACAGCAATTTTGCAACGGTGCTTTCTCTTTGTCATGCTCCAGGGATTTTGTTTGGACTGCCTGTCAAACAAAGTTGGAGGCTGATTGCTCAAGAAAACGGCTGACAAGCAACTGGCGCTTCTTTCTTTTTCGCCAGGCCAGCCGGTCAAACTTCAAATGTCTAAGTTCTTGAGAAAAAGAGTCGACCTACTAGGCTTACAGCATGTTTAAGTCTTAGGGATGTGGTCACAAAAACGCAGGTCTCACCGCACGTCTCCCTACACCCGCAGCCGGTGGCACTAAACCGACCCGGATCCACCTGATCCACAGGGCCTTTCTCTACTTCACCACTCAGCTGCATGGGCTTTGCTGCAGCCGGTGGCTTTCCAGTTGCCTCTGAGCATGGCCTGGGGCCTAGGGGCCCTTTTGCGAGCGATCGCCGACGAAGCCATAGGCTTCATGGGGTGGGTTGGAAGGGAACATCTACAGGAAACCCATGAGGTTTTACCCACCAAAAACGATGGGTTTCCTGCAGGTTTTCCCTCGCCCTCAAGCAATTCGGACAGTTGACCTCATGACTCATCACCAGAGACTGTGATCACTCATACGGCTCATACGCTTAGCTGCACACCTGGAATGAGCAAGGCTGATGACTTGCACCTGCAAAGTCCTCAACCCGTTTCTTTGCTTGGTTTACTATCTGTGTTTGGTGGTTGAGATCTCTCACGAATTCTCCGTCTGGACCTTTCAAAGGAACGTTCATCAAAGTTCGGATGTTGGGCACCTGGAACCACCAATTCCAGCGTCTTGCCCCCGGCATTTGCAGGGTCCCTGCAGCTACCCTTCAGATCGCAGCTGCTTCCACCAGAGCCGGCTTTTTGCACCGGCCTCCCCATCTCCATCTCCCCCACCTTCCGGACCAGCGGAGCACGTCGCTGAGGTCCTCCATCAGCTCCTGCTCTTCGACACCTGGGGCGATCAGCCGTTGCACCGGGCGCTGCGGCACCGGCGCTTCAGCGAGGCGGGTGAGTGGAAGACGTGAACCCTGGGAGGGTCGGTCATGACATTGAAAAGGATTGTATACCATACCTGACATCTGTCGGGGTGTCCTGGCTGGACTACTCCACACTACCCCACGAAAAGGCTTCCAGACAGGGCACCCGCTGTTCAGGGTGCTGGTAGCTGTTCATAGTGCTGTTCATGTTTTGTGTGTGTGTGTGTGTGTTTTATGTGTGTTTGATGTGCACGTTCAGTGTTTAGATGTTTCAATGACTTTCCGTGTTGTTTTATATAGATTGCTTTTAAACCTTCTTTTTCTGGTAAGCAGCGATGAGGGCAGATGTTTTGTCTTACCAGGAGAGTGGCGGGGGTATATTCCTATAGTTTTAATACGGGCGTTTGCTTTGCATCTCAGGAATATTGATTGGGACTGTTACTGCATGTATGGCTTCGCCCAGGAAGAGGGTGTGACACAGCTGGCTGTTTCAGTAGGCTTTGGGGAGTACATCTCCCGCTCAAGGCCGAACGTGTTGCTTCGGAAGTTGGGCATCACTCCAGCATGTGCACTTGCTTGTTTTGTTGAATAGGTAGACCATTTGGGCATTTTGTTGGGACCTTTTTGCACTCGCTTTGAGGCCTTGATCTTCGGTCTTTCAGGAGTCTCCTCATTCCAATTGTGACAGCCCCCCGCCCCGTAGTCGTGCAGTCCCACTGCACGTCAGCTTACATCAACTCCACGGCGTTGCCTGTCACTTGTTTGGCTCAACTCCACTTGGTGCGCGACAACGGGCTTTGGCGCATCTCTGGAGTTCCGCTTGAGCCTTTCGTGCTACGGACCAGGCCTTGGCAGTGCTACGCTACGTCGAGCTAGCAGGCCAGGATGGCGAGGGGCCATGTTCCAGTGATGGGAGGTGCGTGGTGAGGAGGTTGGAAAGACCTGCAACACTCAGTGGTTGAACTCATGGGAGTTGTTTTCGGGGATGTTCTTTTGTTTACCGGATGTCGGATGTGCTGTGGCTTTTGCCAGTTGCTTGAACAAGGATTCCATCAGTGGTATGTGTCCACCACCGATTTTGGATGAAACATCTTCCCGGCCACTGGAGATCCCATTTGATCACCCGAAAGACTATAAAGAAACAAACACGAGATATACAGCCTGTTCAGTTCAACTTTTTGATGAGCCACTTTGTGTCCAGCTAATGGGAAGAAGCCCAATCTATACCCACCAACTGCCTTTGCTCCTCTGTCCTGGCCTCCATGGTGTAGCGCGCATGGTGTAGCAGCCAGATCCGGTACTGGCGCAACGAGTGGTGACGAGCGCCAATGCGGTGACGGGGGAGCAGTTGGCCCATCTCAACGCGGATCTCACACTCTTCGAGGACCCGCGGAGAGGACGACGCCGGACGCTGGACGCTAGATCGAGATTTGGATCGCTTTTTGTGGCGCGGTTGGAGCGGCCCATGCCGGCCGCCTTTGGTGGTGTGAACACCAAAGGCTTGGGGCAAGCCATGGAGGTTTGACGGCCTACCAAATAATACAAGGAAGAGTCTTTTTGTGAAACGAGCAGCGCAGTTGAGATCAGCCTCGCATGTCGAGGGGTTTTATTCTGCAGACACCAATCTGGTCCAAGACATGGTGGCTGGTTTTGTGACAGGTTTTCCATCATCAGCCAGAAGGAAGCTGTTTCGAATGGAATGCCTTTGAGTATTCAACCATGTTGCGACTGGTGAGCATTTGCACCAAGCAACCAGGATACGACTCTGTATATTGCTTCTAACAGTTGCCCTGTTGTGTCTCTTATGGCTGTTGGATACACTGAACAAACACCCCTGCTTGCCAAAAACACAAAGGTCTTTGCCTTTGCCCCAGTGAATTGGCTTCCATAATGAACGGCCGAACGGCGTTCCAAAGTGTTCGACACCCACCGGTGCGAACAGATAAAGGATGATAAATCGAAGGGAGCTCCATGTTCTTGGAGGTCTTGGAGTGGTTCTTGGAGTGCAGCTCCATGACTCTAGAAATACAAATTGATATATTATACTCTGAGATCCAGCAGCTTGATCTAATCTGATTCAGCTTGAGATCCAGGAGCTGCGCCGCTTGGGCGCACAGTCGCTTTCGACAGTGACCTCTTGGGGAGCGTTGCCATGGCACACGGTGGGAGCGCTGAGAGAAGGGACCGAGACGCGCCTGTCAGAGAGTCCGTCGGTTTTGGGATGTTTTTTCTGGTCAAGACTAACAGGTTGTCTTTGTTTTCCCAGTCAGTCTTTGGGTATCTTTGGGTGTATTTGAACTGAGTCAGTCCCCAACCTAGTCAGTTTTGGAAGGGCAGTCAGCTTTGGATTCGGAACATCTTATTGTATCTTAAAGCCCAAAAAGCTGCAGGTCTATAAGCAATCATTGCATCCGAGTGCATCGCTCTACGACTCTGCAAAAAAAGAAGAACCATGAAACGTCTTCACCTTCGAAAGATGGGTGAACTGCCTTTAACTTCGACTCCATGAGTCTCCTAAACCCCTACCCTCCCAAGATCCAGGCTCCTTTCGGCCCGGCCGAACTCGACTCTCGGCCTCACTCGTTCTCGCTTCCGCAGCCGCGGTCCGCAGCGCCGCAGGTGGCGGGACTGCCCGGATCTGTCTCTTCAGGCACCTTGCTGCAGCTGGCGCAGCTTCTGCAGGCGGGAAACGGGCGATTGTGCACGGCATGCACGGAGTCCTCTGGTGACCGCGGAGGACTTGGCCAGTGAGGTGGAAGGTTTGGAAGGGTGAGGATGCTCTTATCAGATCTTATCAGGGCTTTTTGGATGATGGATGTTTAATGTGCCTCGCTGGTCCCATGTCAAGGCTACAACTCTGATGAAGGCGAATAAACAAGAACACTATTTTTGAACAAGGCCTGCAAACCAGGCCCCATCATCATCCACTGGGCCAGACTCGGAAAAATGGTGGCTTTTGTAGACTTTTTCAAGTGTCAAGTGGTGACCTGTGAAGTCGGGTGCTGGTATCTATCCACCCAAAAACCTTCCCACCGTATCTCACACCAGGCCGCCGGTCTGAGGTATTAGGATGTATTAGAGTCGAGGCTTAGAAGAGGTATGTCATGATCCATTGTTTCATCCTAACTTGGACCAGTGCCGCAGTGTCGGCAGGTGCCCGTGGAGACCACCGATACGCGGCACCGCACGGCGCTGCACTACGCGGCGGAGGGCGGGGATGCGGTGAACGTGCAGTGGCTGATTTCTCAAGGAGCCGCCGGTGCGCGGAGGGCCAGGTGTGGCAGGTGGCCAGGAGTGGCAGGTGGCAGGTGGAGTTATTTGGGAGCAGGAGCCAAGATAAATAGTCCTGGCAGCAAGAGCATCCGTCCTAAGTGCCAAATGAATGGACACAGTTTCCCCCAGGACGTAAATATATAGATGTGGGAGCTGAACCTACCAAACAGCCGGACTGGAAATGGGGCCACACAACCCCCAAGAAGACCAAATGCATTGGGAACTGCACGACGACACCTGCCCGCAAGATGGAACTTCTGAGTCAGACAGACCCGATGTGTGCAAGCTGTCGTCCATTTGTTGGCATGTATGGCTCGTTGGCTCAGCTTCATCGTGCATCGCATCAGTCCCCCACTTCTTGAGTGACGTTTCAAGTGCTCTTCTCACATGCCCTTGGTCACCTAATGTCACCTCTATTTTTTGCCATCCGCATGAGCGTTTCGGCTCAAAGGCACAAAAAGCTTAACCGCGCTGTTCTCCGGGTGCTGTTTTTGAACGAACCCCAATGGCCTTCCGCAGTGACACCTACTACACCTATGCCGAAGCTCTTTGTGAGGTTGCTTGGCTGCTTCTAAGGAAGGGGGGCTTGGAGAAACTGATTGAAGAGCCTTTTGCACTTTGCGAGGACATTTGGGACGAGTCTCTTTGCGAAGACATTTGGGACATCTTAGACTCATGTGGTTTGTTGTTATTTTCTCCTATTTTTGATTTTGTACAGAAGGCTGGAGAGGAAGTAAGAGAGTCGTGAGATGTACATAATCATAATCTAACAATTGGCATGGGGGGCAGGCTTGCACTGCATCTATGTCAATGTGGTGCACAAGTCTCAGCACAAGCCCCATGCCTGTTCCAAACACCGATTGTCACGAGACATATACATAATCATACATGCATGTATACAATACAGGTACTGTCAGGTAGCATTGAGATACCCTTGTTGGACCGCCTCGTTCCAAGACCAACCGCCTTATTTAGAAAAAAACAAACAACTACAAGCAACACACACACTGACACAGCTAGCACATGCTTAGTCACCGTGTTGTGCAATAACCACCCAATTAGTTTGGTCACCATCCCCCAAATTGGGATTTCTCCTCATGAAGAGATTGGAAGACCTTGGAAGACCCTCCTTCTATGGCCTATGGCCGTCAGAGTAGCCCTCAGACCTCCCCCAAATAAGACACCCTCTAGGAGGGTGCGATGATGAAGCCACTGGAATTATAATGGTAATAATTATGATGGTCATTCTTAAGAATTTATGTTGAATGTTGGGGCACCAATGCCGCTCCCAACCACCATGGCTCTCAACCACCACCAGAACCATCGTCCACCCGAACCGCACCCGTTCAAATTGGGCACCGAACGCAGCGACCGCTCACGCCACGATGACTGACTCGTCATCGGATGCCAGGACATGCCGGAGAAGGCGTACGACAAGGCCTTCTCACGTCAGATCTCCGAGCCGGTGACGTTCCTCGGGCGGAGACCGTTCTTCAACTGGGAGGTCGGGAGATGTCGGGTGGAAGAAGGCCCGGAAGGCCATGGTTTCCACGGCTTGGTTCAATGAGCGAATGGAGCTACGATGTGTGGGAACTGACAGGAGGAGTTGAGAATGTTTGAGGCTTTATTTTCGGTGTATGCTTGTTAATGGGGCGGCGTGCTTCTCGACTCATATATATATATATATATATGCCAATCAGAGGGGCGGCGGGCATGGGCAGCTCGATGTCGGTGTGCTCTCAACATCCACACCTTTGGAAGATTAGGAACCTGAAAATTTGGAAGACTTGCTTCCTCCACCAACCAGTGGTTGTCAGCTTCCATGTGGGCCTCTTCCCACCGGTACCCTCGACCGCCACCGAGGCCGACCGCATCGACGGCATCGGTTCGAAAGCCATCCAAGCGCAGGAGTTTCTCGGCGTGGAAGTAACATCATTCTGAAGAACTTCGGGGTCATCCATGGCACTTGCAATGGTTTTAGACTCCAATGCCTGTAGATTCCATCCAGAGATTCAAGGTCCCCATGACAAGTGTGTGTGTGTTATCCCTCCCTCCCCCCAAAAAAAAATGCACAGGTTTGTGGGGTCATGCGGGGTCCCCACGAAGGGGTAAGACATCGGCTCAATAAGTAGACCCTGCGCCAGTGTGCCCCCTCGACTTAGGGCTCCAGACATGAACCTCCTGCATTTGGCTCAGGTCACCAGGGTGAAGCCTTAGAATAACAACATCAAGCACTTGGGGGTCCTACAATGTCTTACGCCCTTCCAGCTTGTGCTTTGCTGTGTTTTGTCTTTGGAAGCTTGGACCGAACAGTATATGTGTGAGATCTTCAGGGCACGCTGGGCACACCGGGCATGCCTCATTCATGTGCCCTGCCCTGCCAACAAATGCCTCAGCCCGCCGTTGATTCTGCGCAGTGACCACCTGCCCCACCCGCGCCGAGCCGAAACGCCGCGCTTCGCACAGGTTCTGAAGATGTGAAGGTGCAGGACCGCCCAGCCGGCTTCCCGCGGCTTCTAGCGGGTGGCGCTCCGGGCAGGTGGAAAGAACGCGAGGCGAGTGGTTTGTGTGAACGGGGAAGAGGCAACAGAGAACTGGTTTGGAACATGTTTGGTGGGAGACATATATGTGACGTTTTGAGATATTTTGAGATATTTCTGGTGCATTTCTCGGTCCATTTCTTTGGGGTGGGGGGGGCCGTATATGTTGTGAGCTTCCTTTCTTGCGGTGTCAAACGTGGCATCATCACCCGAACGCACCGGTCCAACTGGAGGAGCTGTCGGGTGGTGTGATGGTGCTGTCTGGACCATTGACACATGACACTCGGTTCGTGCACTGAGTTCGGTGGAGTTCGGGAAGTGATGGGCATCTTCTGGTTCCGTGTGGATTTGGCGATGATTGGTTTTGTGGGTGTAGCCACCCCACTCTGGAGAATCTGATCTTTCACGTTGTTTGAGCTGAGAAGCAAATCCATGGGGTTGCGAAGCAGTTGTGGAGAACGGGCCCTTTTACCCCGAGGCCGGGCACAGGGTCTCAATAGACAGAACCCATTTGTGGGGGCCGATTCTCGACATGAATATTTAGGTCACTCTCCGTCTCCTCTTTCAAAACTCCCGTGGTGAGGTGCGGGGCGGCTTTCGCCAAGGTGCTTCCTCCCCCAAAAAGCTCTCCCTTAAGAGACGCAAAGGTGATTGTCAGGTCGTTCAGCTGAAGTAGGAGACTCAGGCCCGGCCGTGCGCGTGAGCCAATCCAAACCACATACATCATCCGAACTCTTTCGTACATAGCCCTTCAAGGAGGTTGACAGAGAAACAATGAGACACATCCCACAATCTGAAATTATGACTTCATATCTATACATATTTATATATATCATATATATGGCTGCTTGGCAGGAGGTGTTTGCTGTGTCTACTCTTTTTGCTGCTTCCTCTCGACGCCCTTCCGAACGCTGAACGCTATAGGAACGCCTGGGTGCCTGGAGATCGGAATACGCGCACCACTGAGAGAGGCGGGTACGAGACGCAGCCTGCGGTGGAATGCCAAAGATGCCAAATGTGACATTTTGAAGTCTCATGGTGTCTTGGGTTCAAGCTTTATGAATAAAAAACATGCATTTAGACAAGTTAGAACCGGACGTTCGCCCATAGAAGCTCGTGATAGTTGTGCTACTGTCAGAGGAGTTTGTATCCATATAGTGTCCCAGGTGACCTTTTTTTGTCGCCATTTCCCCATGCCAAGTGAAAGCTCACCATCGTCATGGTTCTGGCCTTCAGCCGGTATTGTGCACATCTCTGTTGTGATGTTTGCTTAGGGAAACATGTTTGCGGCTCAGAGCATACCGAGTTGAATGAACCGATCTAAAATGGCGCTCAGTGATTCAGAGGTCCAACTTCTCTCCAAAACTCAGTCAACTATACCGCAAGGAACGGCTGCGCACATCCTGGGTTCTGGGCTGAAGAAAATGCGATTCCCGTCCCAGGGTGAACCGCTCAAAGATGGAACGCTGCGCGTGGCTGTGTTTCATGGGATGGTAGTGTTGCTGCAAGTCTTGCTCAGTCACAGACTGCTAGCAGTTCAGCCAGCCACGCGCAGACCAATGATCACCGATTTCATGTCAAAGCCAAGATGACCCCGCACCCTCGAGGATGTGAGTTTTTTTGTATACTTCGAGTATATGGTTTTGTCAAGAAAACATCCCTCATCCATCCTCATCCAGCAGTTCCATGTCAGGATGGTTCATGATGCCACCATGATTCCGCTCGTTTGGGGGCGACCTCTTAATGTAAAGTCAGGATTAATAAACCCCCCCTAGTTAATCCGAGCCCACAAAGCCGCCGGAAATTGCCCACTTTAAAAGCATTATTGGCTGTTGATTTCCCCCCCTATGGTCTGACTTTCCAACCAACAACCCCCCCCAGTTAATCCGAGCCCACAACCAGGTCAATTTTTCGTATTACTACTACTGCTGCTGCTGCTACTGCTACTGCTACTACTACTACTCCTGCTGCTGCTGCTCCTGCTACTGCTACTGCTACTAGTACTAGCTATTGCTGCTGCTGCTGCTACTGCTACTGCTGCTGCTACTGCTACTGCTACTGCTACTGCTACTACCACGACCAACACCACCACCACAACCATCACCACCTACTACCTACTACATGTTTGATGAAATCCTTAAAAATGTCCAGGGCTCAGGGCCTATAAATTGCCTTATTAAAAACCAATTAAAAACAATCATTTGACAAGCTCACAAAGGGTACCCCTCACAAGGGCCGGTCCCCCATCAATAATCTGCACTACTACCCCCTAGTAACTTGATCCTGTGTCCCTGGCCTTTTCTTTGTGCTTGTTTAAAATTGTTGTGACTACTACTACTACTACTACTGCTACTGCTACCCACTACTACTACTACTACTACTACTACTACTACTACTACTACTACTACTACTACTACTACTACTACTACTACTACT